AAGTGTGATGCATCCTGACGGTGCTGAGGAGAGATGTGGAAATTCAACCACCGCTTTTGCAGGCTGGTTCCTGCAAGACCTCAGGCAGAAACCACATCATTCCTGAGTCAGCTGGTGATCTAGCTGATCAGCAGACCATACATGTATAGACCATCTTTGTGATTTCAATTCTTGTGTAAGAACTTACTTGCAGTTTGCAGTTTTCTGCTTTTCCTCCAAAGCTGTTTCTGCACAATGTGAATACTATATTCATTACATTGCTCCTTTTTCTTTTAGTATGATTCAGTTGACTGGGACACACAGGATTTATCTATTCATGTCTCTATTAACATAATCTCAGTCAAGTGAGTGGCCTTAATTCTTACCTCAGCATTAGTAACACACAGTCCCTACAGTTATAACTTCTGTGCTGATCATCAAAATGTTATCTGCATATGCAAAAAAACCTGTCCTGTTACAAAACAAAGAGTTAGCTTTTATATGATCTTTCTGAGTCATAGCATATCTGTCCAGAAAAGGGTTTGAAACCAAAGTCTCCTGGCAAATTCTAGATCCTCAATTATACTAAAGGTCCAAGAACCTCCATATGGTGTAAGATTTCTGCTGATGAAATATAACTGAGTGCTGGGAAGAGCTGGGAAATGAAGACATAGAACTGAGAATCATAAGTGAAAAGTGAAAAACAAAGTACATTTTGAGCCAGTAACAGCTGGTAAGTCAGTCTCAGAAATGTAATTAGCAAATATTCAAGTAATACAAAGTATTACTGAACTATAAAGACAGAAGAGGAATAGGGAAACCCTGGTGGTTTGGTGGGTACAGATAGCCATTTTCTTATCCCAGAATTTGTATCCCTATATATAATATTCATACAAAATAAAAGTCCAGCTAAGGGGAAAGAAGTAAATGCACAGGCAATGGAAACAAGGACAGGTAACCTTGGAAGAGCATGAAATTGGGTAGTCTAAGTATAGGGTGAGGAATGCCAAGTCAAAGCTGGAACTGAACTTTACAAGGAATGCAAAGAATAACAAGGGCTTCTACAGGTATGTTGACCAGAAAAAGACGACCAAAGCAGGTGTATTTCCCTGATAAACAATGCTGGAAAACTGTAACAATGGTTGAGGGGAGGGTTGAGGTACTCAGCAACTTTTTGCCTCAGTCTTCAATGGTAACCTCTCTTCCCACACGTTTCAAGTGGATGGGCAGCAGGATAGGGACTGGGGAGTAAAATCTCTCCCAGTGTAAGTAAAGATCAGGTTCATGACCACCCAAGGAACCTGAATGTACATAAGTGTGTGGGACCCAATGAAATGCATCCCGCAGTCCCGAGGGAATTTGCTAATGTAGTTGCCAATCCACTCTCCACAATATTTGAAAAGTCATGGCAGCCTGGTCAAGTCCCAGGTGGCTAGAAAAAGGGGCACATTTAACCCATCTTTAAAAAGGAGGATGCTGGGAACTACCAACCTGTCATCAGATCCTTCTAGAAGCTATACTAAGGCACATGGAGAACCGGGAACTGATTTGAGACAGCCAACATAGCTCCACAGAGGGCAAGTCCTACCTAACCAGCCTAGTGGCCTTCTGCAATAGTGTTACTTAGTATCTCCATTGATGACATAGTCAAAGGGATTGAGTGTTTCCTTTAGCAAATTTACAGATGACACCAAGCTGAGCAGTGTGGTTGACACTGAAGGACAGGATACTATCCAGAGGAATTTGGACAAACTCAAGAAGTGGGCTCATGGGAATCTCATGTGGATTAAACAAGACCAAGTACAGGGTCTTGCACCTGGGTCAGGGCAACCCCTAGTATCATTACAGGCTGAGGGATGAACAGATGGATAGCCACCCTGCCAAGAAGGACTTGGGGGTGCTGGTGGATAAGAGGCTGGGCGTGAGCCAACAATGTACACTTGCAGCCCAGAAAGCCAGTTGTGTCCTAAACTGCATCAAAAGCAGCTTAGTCAGTGTTATTCCCCAGTCCAATTGGTGGGTTTAGAGGAAGGTTGTTTGACTGTGTGGTGTGCAGGAGAAACAACAAAATTCTCAGGGGGTTCAGTAACAAAATTTAACTTGCAAACTTAAGAACATTAAGGTAGAATAAGGAACTTGGTAAGTTTTAAAACATCCAAAGTAAACGTAGCAAACTTTAAGAAGTTAGGAGAAGAAGAGAAAGGAAAAAAAAAAGGAGAGAGAAGGGCTCATAGTCACCACCCTTGGATCCGATGGTGAGACTTGACTGTTGCAATTTAGGTGCCCATTGCTCAAAGCGACAGTTGCAGTCTTGATCTGTTGGGGGTGGGGGAGCCCACAAAACACAAAGTTCCATGGGCTAACACACACTCAGGTTCAGGTAAAACATGCAAGGAAGATGGAGAGAGACTTTTTACAAAAGAATGTGATAATAGGACAAGGGGAAATGGTTTCAAACTGAGAGAGAGTAGGTTTAGATTATATATTAGGAAAAAAATCTTTACTGTGAGCATAGTGAGATACTGGAACAGGTTGACCAGAGAAGTTGTAGATTCCTCATCCCTGGACAGTGTTCAAGCCCAGGTTGGATGAGGCTCTGAGCCTAGTGTAAGGTTTCTCTGCCCACAACATGGGTTTGGAATTAGATGATCTTTAAGGTCCCTTCCAACCCAAGCCATTCTATGAATATTTTGATAAAAGAACAAACTAGGGTTTTTTTCTGCTTTGTTTTCCATGACTGATATAGCCAGCTTCCCTGGGTTTCTGGTAAATCACAGATTTGTAACCCTCTGACTGAATAAACTGACTAATTAGATCCAAAGGGCAAAACCTTATATTTATGGCTACGAACAAGTATGTAGTGAAGAACATATGTTGTGAACTATTCTTTCAGTGCAAAAGGTCCAACTGAATTTATCCAAATGTTCTACACTGTCACATAAGTAGTAGTTCTGTAGTTAATTGTTCATTAAATATGTAACTGCAAATTCAAAATTTAAATTCAATTACTGAATTGAAATAAAGAGGAAATGTAATTTTGCATTAAGGAACAAGTTCAATTCAGCTTTGAATGTGGAGTTGCTGTCAATTTATTTTTAATTCAGTAAGTGCATATGAACTATTTAAATACAATTTGATTGCCAACTTGTATACATAGCTTTGATTTCAAAGGAAGTCTGGGTTTTCCTGTAGCAAGAAAGGCAGAAAATATAGTTTGAATAGCAAACAAGTCTCAGTGGGATCAAAGCATTAACCATTCTCTGTGTCTCTTCAATTACTACTAATCATTTGAGCTACTGCAGTCACAGGACAAATTGTATAATTCCCTGCTTTGGGAGGCACTGCCTGTATGTTGCAATGTTTAAAAACAGACTTATGCACACACATGCCAAAAGATAGGTCCCAGAAAATATGATGTTAGCAATAAGACTGCTTTATTATTGTTGCAATAAACAATTGTCCACAAATTCCAAAATGCAGCAGAATTTCTTAAAAAAAACATGCAGTGCTTTCAGAGATGATTTGAGAGAGAATAAATAATTTTCAAGCATTGAAATGCTGCATTAAATTTCTGGCTTCAAAGGTGCAAAAGTGGTCAGGTTTGCCATAGAGTAAACTCTGAATTTACAGAACATGAAACAAGTTACTCTCACTCCTATATCTTTAAAAACTTGGTTGCATACAAAATTAAATGCAACTTCACTTGGACTCATGTATAGCATATGTAAAAATGTGCTAGTCTAGGTTTAATCTGTATCTTAACATGCTCAGCATACCTAATACAGTTTTTGTTTAGTTGCAGATCAATATTATAGAAGTATGAACCAAAGCATTCCATATTTTAAGCTGTGCTGCTTTTCTTTACAGATTATTTACAAAATACAAGCAGTCTGGTGCTTGGACCTAAGAATGTTACAACTACATTGCTTTTTGAAAATGATGTTGTAACACTTTAGAGAAAATGAATTCTTGTTCCGAGAAGTAAAACTACTTTCAAAATTTTTATCCTAATATTTCAGAACAGATAGATCTTTTTCCTAGTAAAATCTATTTCTACCAGAGAGTATATTATTTACTGAAAAATTTAGTCCAAGACCTGTTTAAAGGGAGAAAAGTTGTTTGTCCATCATTTTAGACATTCTTGCATTTGAACACTAGTTAAACAGCCTAATTAGGTTATTTTAATTTATAAGAAAAAAGATACGTGAGAAGTAAACAGAAGACTGGTTATGTTAATTTCCTATATAGTAATGCAGACAGCATTGACAATTTCCAATAGGACAGAATTCCTCTTAGTGTTCAAAAAGTCATAATCAGATCAGGTTGAGTAACTCAATAGAGTTCCAAAGGCAAAAATGGCCTAGGTGTATAGTCAGAAACATCAGGAAATCCAATTACTGTATGGCAAGAAAAGACTGTTCTCACCTTTGGCATGTACTTAAGAGAACACCCAGGGTAAACAAATAGACTCGAAAGAGCTCTGTTTGGAAGCTGTTCCTGTGATACAGTTTGTTTACATTGGTTTAACAACCAGTATTATCATTATCATCAGTATGTCAATTATTTGTTATTTAATACCTGTCTTTTCACAAACTGTGATAACACTACTATGTGTTCACATACTGAAAGAAGAATTTCAAGGTTCTTTCAAATTTTGTGGAAATGTCCTGATTATTTTCTTACTTCGTCACTCATTGTTACTTCCCAAAAAGGAAGAATTCAAATTTTCTTGTCATTCAAATACCAATTATTACTTTTTAACGCTGTTACTTTACACAACCATCCTCATCATCATACTTCTGCTGAATGATCTTTTAATGCTGTTTCTTATTAGATGCTGCATGTACCTTCAACATCACTAATTATACAAAATGGTGGGTCTTTAGAGGGCCTCAGTCTCACCCAAAGATTTTTTATCCACATTCAGTGGCTTAGACTAATAGATCAACTGTTCCTTCCAGCTACCACTTCTGCCAATCTTTGTGCTTGGTGTTTATTTTTCTTTTATGTTTACCCTACAGGGCTCTATGAAAACTATCCAACCAATGCAGAACCAGAATGCTGTGATGTCAGATGGGGACTATTATCAGATCATCAATCCAAAGGGACTATAAAAACAAGTGGCTCAACAATGTGTCACAGGACATCGCTCACAGTTTCATCAGCATCAAGACTGTGTAACAGCAGACTTAAACTGTGTGTTCTTGTATTAATTCTCTTACATACAGTACTTACAGTCTCAGCAGCACAGAACTCAACAGGACTGGGCTTTGGAGGCATAACAACTTTGGAAGATAATTCAACCAATGAGGAATGAAAGAAAGGATTCATTTTACATGATTGAAACACAACAGGCCCAAATGACTACAGTCAAAAACAGCGAAAACTGAGTGCTTTACCCTCAGATCTCTTCTTGAATGACCTTTTGGGTAAAATGAAAAGGATGGGCCACTACCCAAACAACAAGGACACATGAACACAGCTTTTTATTGACTAAAAGGCTGTTTGGTGACTTAAATTTCTCACACCATTTTATACACTGTGTTTTAATGTTTGGAGTTTCTTTTTTTGTTTGTTTTTTTGCACTTGTTAATACAGGATTTTATTTTTGGGACGGTTTCTCAAAGCTAAATTAAGTCTTTTCTCTGTCAATATCTTTCTAGTCATTGTGTGTGTTCATCTGATAGTTCTGTCTTTTATGTCCTGTCAGTTTCTATTAGAGGAATGACTGCTATGATTCCATGACATAGCAGAAAAAAAAAAAAAAAAAAGAAAAAAAAAAAGGAAAAAAAAAAGAAAAGAAAAAAAAAAGAAAAAATCAACAAAAAACCCAGAAAAAGACCCAACGAAAACCCACAAAAAGAACAACAAAACAAATTTAACCAAAAAATAGAAAAGAAAAAAAATAAAAAAGGCAACCATGAAAAAAACCCAAACAAACCTTACTGTCCTCTTACCCATGGGAACCATTCATCTCCTTTCCCTTCCCATCTCTCGTCACAGACAACACACATTTGCTTCTGTCTGTGTAATCACAATGAATGGGTACACAATTCTAGTGTGCCTCTGCCACTGTTGCACAAAACAGTTGACTGAGCAAACCCAAAAGGAGCATGAAGGGGGTTCCTTTTAGCTGAACAAACAAGTGCTCTCCTTACAAGGTGGGATCGGACAGTTAAAACATGTAAAGAAATATATAACAAACTGTTGCTCCAATACCCGTTTGAAGAAGTCCAGTCCTTTCTCACTGGTCAGTTGAACAGGAGCAGCCTTTTTTAGATATGCTACATAAAACCAGTTATGCTCAGCAAGTTAAGCAGTTGGGAAACCTTCATATTGGAGGTAAAGGATTGACATTCATTGTGAATCATGTTTTGAGTTCTCCTGCTGTCACATAACCAGCAGCTTTCCATATGGAGCTAAGAACTTCCAAACTCCAACTCTTTTTTGTCTCAACAAAATTACACTAGAAGTCTTTGAGCATCTGCAATACAAAGTATCTCTTTGGTTTTGATTCCATTGTTTTTCTAATATCTACATGTTATTGAAAGTTACTCTAGTTTATTAAGGATGCACAAGAATGTGTTAGCACAGATAAAGAAACTATTTTTTTTTAATATATAGGACAACCATTTTCATAAATGTGCAATAAAACCAGTAAAGATATACTAGGATACGAGTAGTCAAGAGAAAAGATTGTAATATGATTGCTGATTTTTCATTGTTTGGGGTGGTTTTTAATTTGTTTACTTTTATTTTCATGGGAACATTTCACCTGCTGAGTGTATGAGAATTTGCTTTTTAAAAAGGCTTTTTAGAGTTTACAGTAGAATCAATGGAAGGAAGAGTTAATAAGGGCTGTTTTTAAAAACTTTACATTCCTTCCTATTCTCTAACTACACTTGGGAAGTGCACTTTAGAGATGTTTGCTGTGTAGCTGGGAAATGAAGGAAAACTATAGAAAATGTTCTCTTAGGAAATAAAATATAGTTACCTACTTTCTAGCTATGAAATACCCCTTCATAAATATTAATGTTGTAAGAACATTTAATCACTGGTGCGTAATGCGTTTTTGTATACACTTTATGGTCTGTTAAATTCTGGAGAAAAACAAAAAAGAAGATAACCATGCTGCTTAAGCGGTTCAAGATGCACATGTTAAGCTGCGAAAGCTCAAATATTTTGCAAGAGCGTTTGTTTTAATAGTGTTTTGCTACAACCCGGACTGAGGAGCCTAAAATGATCTGTGCAAATATGACAACCACAAAAAGCACCAGCTAATGCAAAATTCTTCAGCACTGGTTTGTTTCTATAATTCTTCCCTTTCTTGCACATGCTATATTTTGTTCAATAAAACATGGTGCTTTTTATTTATTTTCTTTTCTTTTAGAGGCACATGTATTACTTGTAGTGAACTGATGAATAATTGGGGAAAAATGTAGAAATGCAAAAGAAAAAGCCTTAACTAATGGTAGAATGTAGACTTTTGAAAGGACAGAGATGTTACTGAAAAGTGATGGAGCAATAACTGGGCAGTGCTCTGGTACTGTACAACAGCTGATGAGTCACACTACTGAGAAAGCTCTTACTAGGTGAGCTCTTGTTCAACTGACCTCTTAATTCTAGTAAGTGTACATGGTCAGTAAACAGTTTGTTATAACCTTTATCTACCTCTGCTGTGCAAAGACCATCCAACATCCATTTCTGTGATGTTCCTCATGGTTTTTTTGTTCACACCATTACTCACTGTCATCTATTTTTACACTGTACCAATACAGTAGCAAGTCTGGTTCATCTTGATTGAATTGACACATGAAGAAAAGTTATTATTTCTCTTTTGCCTCATGGTGAGTTAATGTAGAGATATATCTATAAGATATTTTATTTCTTCTCTCCTGCTCTTCTTCATCCTTCATCTCTTATTTTTCTATAAAATGGTTTTCTAGTGGTGTCAGTGAAAAATATGACTCCTCCACTACTTGGTTACACTCAGTCATGTGTCATACAATATGAGAGAGACAGGAGGAAAAACCGTGACAACGACATCACATGCATAAAGTAGCCTAATTAAACTTGGGGAAAATGAAGCAGAAAACAATTACAGACTTTCAATTATTACTCAAGTACAACATGTAATAAATTTGTCCCCCTCTCCCCACCTGGAGTTAGTGCCTGCAGTTCAATGGTCTGTGAATTTTCTGTCATCTTTTTGAGGTCTATTTCTTTAATTTCTGAAGCAAAGAGTCATGTTGCAGAGGTGACTACTGCTGGGGTATCTGTTGCCATTTTCACTCTAGCAGTGTGGTAAGCAGCTTCTCTGGGTGGCACCTGGGACATCAGGAGTAGACAAAGACTCTTCTATGAAGTTAAGCAACATGTAATCATGTATGATGCAAAATTCCATTCCATCCATTCTTCATTCGTAATAGTTTTCCTGGCACAAACTTAAGCATGCTTGATATTGTGCACATATTACTTTTTTCCAGAATAAATTTGCATCTTACCACTGCTATAACTGCCATCTTGTTCCATTTCTCCTTGTACTGTATGCCTAATACATACATGATAAAGAGCTGGCTTAACAAAGAAGTAATACTAAAATATTTCTGCAAATGACCGATGAGAAGAAAAAGAAAAAAGAATAATATTTATTTTATGATCATATGGAAGAAAGAGATTTCCCATGCCTTATATCATCTTATTTTCTGCAATAGGGAAAATCCAGAGTTTATGCAATATGTTAATACTGCTAAGCCAAATGTCATATAACATAACCAGAGCTATATGTTATTCTTTATTGCATTTGCATTCAGTAATACAGTATATTAATGCTTTTCTTTCATTAAAGAGACAGTATCTTTTTTCTTTTTTTTTTTTTAATTTATTTTAATATAGCAGGTGAAGGTTGTCCTTCTGCACACCATAATTTAAAGACAAAAGCAACGAAATTCTAGAATGAAGTTTTAGCTCTATAAATGATGAAACTAAGTCATCAGCTGCCAAAGAATTTGTGGAACAATAGTTACAAACCAAACAAAAAAATTTCTCCTTGCGAGTTAAAACTAATGCTATTCTACACAACTAAAGAAGAAAGAATGAGAGCTGTATTTCAAACAGCAAAGACGGCAGATTTCGTCTGGTACATATTGTGGCTCTCAGCTTATATAGTTATACTTTTCTATTAAAAAGTGAGGGATAAGGACATTTTCTTGTGCTCTCTCTGTATTTGTTATGATAATTAATTTCCTTTTTGAAGGCATTGCCTCTCTGCACGGAAGATACCTGCTTGTGTGAGAGCTGAAGACAGCTTATGTACATGCACACAAATTTACATAGTGAAATCTGTTTTACGTGACTACCCAAAGCACAAGCAAAACTCATTTGCAGAGTAGAGGTAGCTTTTAGGAAAGTGAAAAAAAATTTCTATTAGGAAATTTCAAGATACCTGTAAAGAATCAACTAAACAAGGAATCTGCGAAGGTGCCTGGTCCTTACTGCAGCTTTCACCGTATATCCCATCAGTGCCCCATGATAAGCCCAGCACAGACAGGCTTCAAGCTGGGCTCAGTCATGCTGACTCCAGTGGGCCTTGATACAGGTAAAGGCACACTCCTACAAAAAATTCATAGTAGCACATAGGTCTCCATATTTTGTCCCATAATCTTTACTCAGGAATTGCTCATGGACATAGTGCATAAACTGAGGATCAATGGGTTCAGCCCTAGCCAACTGAGTCTTAACAAGAGACTGGCAAAAGCATATTACTGCTGAATGGTTTTGGTTTTTTATTATTGTGCACTCATATTAGTTTAGAGTGGTTTCAAAATTGAACTAGGAGCACAGAGGACTACTACTGCAAACTTTGTCATTGTGGAGATGAAACTAAATAGCCTTTCTGAGGTAAAAAGAGGCTTTGCCATCTGTCAGCAGCTGTCAGGAAACAGTAGTATTTTAGAAAAGCTTGGGAAAAGAATATGTCAAGTTCTGAATATAATAGTTCTCATTAAAGCTAGATTTTTGGATGGGAGTTAGGACTGGAGCACACACCATCTCAGCTGAGGGATTTAATTTACCAACATCTTCTACAGCAAGTCTGAGGAATTACATTTACTGAAGGCATCTGGATGTCCAGTATTTTCCAGCATTTTTTCATATGTTAACAAGCTTGATCTCTCCCTGAAGGGAGAAGAAAAATTTACTTTAAGTGATTCTGGGGGGAAAAAAAATAAAGTTTAGGGCAACTTGGAAAATCCTTCTGAGAAACCAGCTCTAATTCTTCAAAATACAATGGGGATGAAAAAAAAAAAAAAAAGCATATGTAGGTTTAGATCTATATAAAAATAGTCCTATTTTAAAAGAGAGAGACACAAATGTATATTCTCTACAATTATTACAGTGTACTGTAGGGAAAAAGTGCCAAGGGAGAAAATAAATGGGGCCAAATTACTGTATTTATATTCTTTACTATGGATTGCAAATTTCCAAGTAGAATTTCAACAGTAGAAATAGATATTATAAAAAGGCAAACAACTTAGGAGAAAGGAGCATATTTAGTTATTCTTTCCACCGTAATGTCTCCTATGAGTTTAGCTATTAGTCTTCTGAACTTTTCCTTGAAATTGTTGATTTCTACAGGAAGACCCCAACAGAGACCTCATCCCAGCACTTCCAGTGGGTGTCATTGGCACAGGAGATCTCAGTCATGGGTCCTAAGGGAGAGTCTGTTTTCAAAGTGCTGACTCTGCTTCAGCACTTCAGTCCAATCTCTAGGCTCTCACGTTCTCCTAACACCCTGTTCGTCTCTTAGACACACAAGAAGTGACTCAGTTTCTTCTCCAGAGGGGCATGTGTTTGCCCTGTTTACACATTCAGTCTCAGTCAGGCTCCACTACACAGGTCAGAGGAAACACAAGTGTGCTTGAAATGCAATATGTGCAATGGACACCCCAAACAGCTGAAATAGGATTAACGTATTTTGGAGCCAACCCTCTGAGGAAAGGTGAAGATTTTGCCAGCTGTGTATGCCTCTAAACCCTTTTGCTATTCTCACACCGAGAACTATCTCAGCAGAAGCAGCAAGAGGTTTATCAACGAGACTTCATGAAATCTCTTTACAGCCCTTCAGACCTTACTCCTCCCAGCTGCCCTCCTCTATGATTTTGCCAGGATTTATTGTTCAGGGTAGGATAAGCGGAAAAGAAGATGTGGTGTTCCACTCCAGTGGAAAATGAAGGATGTCTGGGTGAAGACTAGATTGCCAGCTAGGACATCATTAACACAAACATACAAATCTTTCCATCAAGTCTTTAGCAGTGGGGGAAACTGAAGAAAGAAGAAGGGTACTTTCAGTTAAAGGGATAAATCAGGCAGCAGAGGGATATATCTTCATAGAATATGAGATTTATTTGAAAATATCTTTAGTCAGGACAACACAGAGCATTGCAGCACCAAACTCTTATGTGTCTTATAAGTGGTGATTATACACCTCCAAATTAAGCTGGATGAAGCATGATCATGATAGAAATTAGTAATACAATCCAAGAGTCTACTGAGGAAAGTACCAAGCCAGTGTTCTACACTGAATGGGATAGTCTTATTTTAATCCTGCTATCTTGGGGTCATTCTCTGAGCATTCAGTAAGTTCCTATGTCTCCCTGGGATTCACGTTTCTGAAGGTTTTTTATTGGACTGAGGCTCGTCCACCAGCTTTTTGAATAAATTGCAGATGTAGGATCAAGTGGTAACATGATACCAGCTAGAATGCAGTGAAAGGGTTTCCTTTAAATGCATATCAGTCCTCTCTCTAATAGCAGTCTACTCTTATTGAATGTGAAAGAAAAACTGTTTTCATTAGTTTCTTTTATGGTGTTGCTCCAGTAGACACAAATAAATGAACTAATTTAGTATTCTAGTAAAAATATATACAAGGTCTGGTTACTACATACATACGAGAGACAGGCGCTCTTTTCCTCCTCTGAGGAATGTCAATAAATTATATATTGAGCAGTCAATAATCTGGTAGCATTACCTAATTTTGACGGCCTTTATTGTAATTTCCAAAGGGAATAGAGGATTTCAGTCAAGTGTGTTCTACTTATTTCATTTGATGATGAAGAGCACCTAGCACTTTACAAGACCAAGTTTCTATGTAGTAGTGGTACTTGACTATCATCAGCTACTAATCAGTTTTCTAGGAAAACTCTGTAAAGAAAGCAGAACAGCTACATCAGTTGAAAGATATCAGATCTGTGACCAGTGAGAAAAATAGTCACTACTTTTTGTTGGGTTTGGACAAGATCAGTAAAAACAAAGGCAGAATAAAGAAAATTGTCTTTCTTCCATTCCTTCCCTCCATCCACCTTTCCCTTTCTTTAACAGAATCACCAGTCTGAAATAGAGAATATTTTGCCTTAGTAGCTCTCTGAAAATTAAATGCATTTGATAAAAGGTAGAGTTTTCCTATTTCCTGTTTCCTACACTTGCAGGATAAAAACCAGAACAAAACAACTAATTTTAAAAAACTCAAACCAAAAGAAATTATGAAGCAAAAGTATTTATTTTTTCATCCACAGAGAGATGTTCTCACATTGTTTCCTATTCATCATTAATCCACAGGTCCACTGAATTCTATGGGATTCGTGCTTTTCATTTAGATGAAACTAGGATTAATACCATGGATCAAAATCTACCACTTTCAGAGCAAGTCCTTTCACTGACTTCAGGGAGGATTTGGAAAGCCCAAGATCCCTATGAGCAAAGATAAACTCACATGGATAAGATAAATAAACATGTGATCAGTTGAAAGACTGAAATGTTCCTAAGGTTTGTCCAAGGGTTTGGTCAAATAATTAGCTGCAGCTCTATGCAAAAGTCATGTTGAGCCAAAGCCTTGAGCTTTGATTTGATAGACCTTTCTTTTTCTGAACTCTTAACAAGTTTCATTCAGGGTTTGAATATGCAAAAACTTAAACAGGATTATAAATACAAGAAGAAAGACTGAAAAAAATTTACAGTATTTTCACTCCCCAAAGTGGAAATTAAATTTTAAAATTCTGATAATTGCATTTTTTATTATTAACCCTTAACGACAATTTATTTATGTAGTTCTTCAGAAGCTGTTTGGTTTCATTTGTTTGTTTTCTTATGCTTTGTTCAAAACCAGATTTTTGGCCTTTTAAAGATTCTGATTGAACTATGCAGCTACAAATTACATGTTTATGTTAAGATATTTGCAATTAAAATTATTCTACTCTTCTGTTATTCCAAATTGTACGACAGAAAGCTCATGTTAAAAGTAGATTTATTTAACTGTGTTTAATCTCATTTCCTTTTTCTTTTCCCTTGTTATTTGGGTTTTTTCTTTCTTTAGAGTTAAGGACTGGATTTCATTTGAAATGGGCTAAACTGGCATCCGTGTTTTTTAACTATATGGAATGTCCTATGATTCTTAGCATTGAAAAGAGGGCTATATGGTCCTGTCAGAAAAAAAAAAAAAAAACAAACCTGTAAATTGTAATAATATATTAAATATTGTATTATTATAGCTACTTTAGTTAAGCAACTAAAACTATCTTTAATTTTTTACAGAGAACTTTGATGAAATAATTTATTACAATGACTCACAGAAAAACTTCTTTTCAAAATGACAGGAGAAACTGTTGAAGATTGTGAAAAAATACTAAAAATAATGCTATATTAAGAATAAATTTAAAGATGCAAACAGTGAGTCTGACTTTTTGGGTCAGGGATTTGTGAATGAAATTAAATCCAAGGTGTTTGGGGGAATAATGATTTTGAATAATACTTAAATTTAAAAAACTTTCTTCTCAAAAGAAAAAAATGGGGAAAAAAAAATTCAAACACTTGTGTTCTAGCCTGGACTGAAATTACCTATTTCATAAAATGCCCTTGACATAAATATAAAAATTGAGGTAATCTCCTCATATTCAACTGTGTTTCCAGACTGTGGTGTATAACACAACATCAGTACTTTACAGCCATTGAAATCAGATCTCTTTCGAAGGGAACACAATTAGAAGAAATGAAAAATAATACCCATGAAAGAAAAGTATTTAATTTTTAGAACATGCGTATGTCAAATTTAAATGGTGCAACATCTACAAAAATACATGTTCATTTATTACCTATGGGATATTCAGTAGTTTACAATGAGGATCTGAATGTATAAGTGATATTAGATACTTTGTCTAGTTGCACAAGGACTGGTTCTTCCCAAAAGGGATTGACAACGAAACAACAGTTCAAAGAGGTGAGTTCAGAGACATTTACAGGTCAGATTTTGAATGTTTTAGGAACTATTTTGGGTGACAGTAAATGATAGCAACATTGTGGAAATCAGTGCTGACCCCTCTGATAACATGAATCAAAATACAGTGAAGCTGGCATAAGGTACTGCTGCAAATAACAGGTGAAAATAAAAAGTCATTTGTAACAATATAAACTGTAAATCTGGTGAGAAAATAAACCACAAATCTCAGTTTTCTCACAGATGTGTAACCTGATACTGCTTGTCACACTTTCAGAGCCACCCACCTTTTTGACCTACCCAGCTGCTGACACAGGTAGGTACATGCAATGGGTGAATTAACTGCTCTATTTCAACATACAGATTTACTAAAAACTCCTTTTTCATGTCATAATGTTTGTCTTGAAGCCAAACTATTTTCCTTGCCTTGAATAGCATCTGACACTGTGAATGAGACCAGTTTCACTGACTTGGTAAATTAAAACCTGATGACCAACAATGCCAGTTTTTCATTAGGGCATTGGTTTCTTAGGAGGGGATGTGAGGAATCCACTTTGTTTCAAACCTATGGTCAAAGTGTCCCCCACTGCAATGAGACTGAGGTTTCAATTTATGTATGCAACTTCATCAAGTATAAAGTGAATGGCAGTTAAATGTGACTCCTATTCTAAGGAAACAGTCTGGAGCATAAGATGAAATATTTTTTCTGGCTGGACACTTTCACATGGGACGAGAAAAAGGAAACCAAGCATACATAAATCAAAATAAAACTCACTAAGGTTATGGTATATATTTAAGGTTATTTCTAGAACCCTGTAGTTTTGGGTTTTTTTTCTTTATAACATACTTTCCATGTTGTTTAGTTTAAGGTTGGATTGTTCCACTTTTTGTAACAAAACTTCACAGGATTATACTAGTCTATACTCTAAACTGATAGTGATGGACTATGTTCTTCAAAAGTAAACGCATTTACCAGATCAAGCAAGAAAAATTTTTTTCAAACATGTGTTCATCAATTCTACCCAGTCCTTGTCCATGCCCACTTTCTTACTATAGCCTCCTGCTTAATATTCTGTAGAACAATATGAGTTGGAAGGGACCTTCAAAGATCATCTAGTTCCAATGCCCCCTGACACAGGCAGAGACACCTTCCACTAGACCAAGTTGCTCAGAGTTCCATCCAGCCTTGAGTACTTTCAGGGATGGAGTATCCACAACTTCTTTGGGCAACCTGTTCCAGTGTCTTACCACTCTCATTGTAAAAAAAAAAAAAATCTCTTTTGTGTCCAATCTATACCTACCCTCCTTCACTTTAAAACCATTTGCCTTGTGATGTTGCTCCAGTCATGGTACGCAGTCTCACAGTCTTGCTGAGCCCTGTGTTATGTTTTGTAAGGCTACAATAAGGTCACCATAGAGTCATCTCCTCTTTAGCTTGAACAACCCTAGCGCTCTCATCCTAACTTCATAGGAGAGGTGTTTCAGCCCTCTGACCATTTTTGTAGTCCTCCTTTGGATACACTCCATCTAGTACTGGGGACCCCAGATGCAGTACTCCATGTGGCATCTCATGATAGTAGAGGAAGGCTTTGACCTGCCTGTCATGCTTCTTTTGGTGATTCTTTCCAGGAAACAACTGGCTTTCTGGGCTGCAAGAGCACATTGCTGGCTCATGTACAATTTTTCATGCACTGATGTCCCTAAGCATTTCTCTATGTGACTGCTCTCAATTCATGTATCCGACAGTCTGTATTGATACTGGGGATTGCCCCAACTCAGGTGAAGGATCTTGCACTTGGCCATCTTTAACTGACTGAGGTTCATAGGAGCCCACTACTCAAGGCCATCAGGCCCCTCTTGATTGAATCTCTTCCCTCAAGCATATTTTACCCCTCAACTTGGTGTCAGCCACAAAGTTGCTGAGGCTGGACTCAATCCCACTGGGCTCAATCCCACCCAATTCATTAAGTCCCAGTACAGACCCCAGAGGGACACCACTTGTTACTGCTTTCCACTTAGACGTTTGGTTACTGACTGAAAGACCTTGGATGTGGCCATTCAGTTAATTCCTTATCCATTTAATAGTCCATCCTTCAAACCCATATCTCTCCAATGGAGCAGCAAGGATGTTGGGTGGGATCATTTCAAAGGCCTTACAAAGTCTGGGTAAATTATATTTGTAGCTCTTACTTTGTCCACTGATGCAGTCATGTATCATAAAAAGCCACTAGATTAATCAGGCATGATTTGCACTTAGTGAAGACATATTGGCTGTATCAAATCACCTCCCTGTCTTCCATATGTTTTGACATAACTTCCAAGAGGATCTTTTCCATCATTTTGCCAGGCGCAGAGGTGAAGCTGACTGGTTAGTGGTTCCTACGATCTTCTTTTACCCTTTTTAAAAAAGAGTGTGACATTTCCCTTTTTCCAGATACTGGGACCTTGCCTGACTGCCATGACTTTTCAAATATCATGAAGAGTGGCAACTACATCAGTTAATTCCCTCAGAACCCTGGAATGCATCTGGTTTGTCTCATGGACCTATGCATGTTCAGGTTCCTCAAGTGGTCTTGAATCTGATCTTCACTTGTAATGAATGGGGCTTAACTCCCACAGTCTCTGCCTTGAGGTTCAGTAATTTGAGAGATTTGCACTCCTAGAAATCTTTATCTTTCCAGAACAGGAATATATCTCCTTGTCAAATGCACAGACTTTTTCACCTTACCATTGTTTTCATCTAACAGAGATTTAGTAAAGATTTTCAGGTAATTTCTCTTTTTTGCACAAGGACAATTAAACATTTTACTCTACTTATGCTATTCCTCAAGTACTTCAGAGGAGCCATGGCTTCCATGGAATATTTTAAAAGCTACCAGGAGAATATTTGAATTAAAGAAAACTTAAATTCAGAAGACCATTAAAGTTTCAGAAACAGCTAGAACTGGAGGTGCAGCTGAAAATAGTACAGGGATAAGTAGTCTGAAACTAAGAGAAGAACAACTAGGCATAGACATACAATCCTGTATAAACTTTAATAATACAAAGTACGTAACAATAAAAACATAAATGGAAGCCTGTGTTTAGCACAATAGCAAATGAGAATCTAGAATGTAAGAACAAAATTTAAAACAACTGCCAAATTTCCCAAACAAACCACAAGTAAGTTCAATAATTTCATTTTTTTTTGTAATTATAAAAATTATTTGTAATTTTGAAGGATTTGTTTATTCAGAGTTGTGTTCAAGATGGGGTTTTGTCATTTTAAAGGCCTCCTTTACTACTACTGAAACTAATTTTTCAGGCTGCTCTGGAAAATTGTTTCTCTTTATAAGGCAACCAATCCTCTTGTCCTTGATAACACACTGCTTTGAGATTATGCTCCCATTAAAAACAAACAAACAAACAAACAAACAAACTTAAAAAAATATCTAAAAGCTGCTTATTAACTTTAAAAGTATGATTTACAAATGAGTGTAGTAACCCTTTTTTCTGAGGCAACAAGAATTTCACATTTGGCAGAAAACAAACAACCCATAGTTAAACAGATTGAAGGATACAGCAAAACTATTTTAGTGCTACAGTAAGAACTTGGTGTATGCAACAGCAAGGAATCATAATAAACTTAATTTAAATGATCCAAATTAAATGGTATAAGAAGTACACCTCTTTTGTCAATATTAAATTTATTATGCATACCAATATATTTACATAGGGAAAAACCAGTATCAGCTTCAAATCAAATCAATCTTTTTTTTTCTATCAGTTACTGGATATACGGTAGGAATACAATGTATTAGTACTTTATTAAAGTAATATATAATTATATATTTACTTCAAAGTGCCTTGGGGTTATGACAGCATTATAAAAGTCCAGGTCTTCCACAAAAGTCAGCCTTGCAAAAAAACCAGAATGTGTATTAGGAATTGAATCCAAAATCCAAGTGTTTTGAAATATAAACGGATATATGGAAAGCATGTCAAAGTCAGTTGAGACTAAAGTGAATTAAAAAGCCTGGAGGTTTTAGGGGAAGAGAAGGAAACTGGCATGATGGCTGGTTTGGTACTGAGTCGTCCATAGAGCTCAAATTCTCTAGGTCCTAAATCTAGTCACACACTTATTCCTACCCCATTTGATGGAACACAATAATATCAAAGTGACTCTAATTTGTCCACAATAAGTCATTCTGAAACTTTTTGTCCTTATAATACTAGTAGGTACTTCCTGGCTTCATTGTTACTGGTAATTTCTATTCGCAGGTGTGGGCAATTTTTGGTTATTCAAGGGGCTGGTTTAGTGAGTAGGAGGAATCACACCACAGTCAAGAAGTACTTCCAGAGCTGCTCTGTGGAGGTTCTCTAGATTGTATTAGTTTCATGGGGTTTTGTGATGTGTTTTTTTCTGTCTCACTATTACGTGAGGTGTCATGGATGTTGATACCTTCCAGAAGCACAGAATTTTGGGGAAAAAATACCCATAGGAAAGCAATTAAGAATTTTTTACTTTATCTTCATCCAGAGCACTAAGTTCAGCATAACACCAATCTATCCTGCCTTTGAACTTACACAATATTTTGTTAAAGCAAAGATGGATATGAAAAAAATGTTCCGTATGGTATAGACAGTCTCTTTCTTAGTAAGGCTTAGCATTTTGAAACTTGGACTTGAGTTTCGTTGTCAGGTCCTGGATTATATACAATTGAATCAAAGATCTAGAGCTGAACAACCTCTTATCTTCTAGAAATCAAAGTTCTCACATAGGTGTTAGTGCTCTGTCTTGTTTATAATTCAGATTTCGTTTCACTTCTTAAAAGATGTCCCTGAAGTGCCAAATTTTAAAACAGAATAAATTTCTACTCTATGTAAAATGCATTAATCTATTATAAGCATAATGACTTAAATAAATATATAGATAATGCAATTTGAGGCTTGCAGTGCCTAGCTGATATCTACTACCATCTCTACAGCAAATCTACTGCTCTGAGTCAGATAAACAGAATCTATAAAACATATGGGAAAATAAAGTTCTTCACTGAAGATAAACATACTCAGAAAACTGTTTAAGCTACTCAGAGGAAACACAAATCTCCCCTCTTCTCCATATGCATAATAATTCCATATTTTTGCAACAATTTAATCCCTAGGATCTGGACACTATATTCAACACTGAAGGGAAATTATATGCTAAAATGTCAAATACAATTCCTCTCTTTATGTGAGGTATCCCTTCTCCAAATGCCCAAGTATTGAGCTGAAATGAGGGAGAGGAGATTTAACCTTCTTTCTGACACTGGTAGTAGTGGTGGTGATTTAATTCTCTTTCTCATCTTCTTTCTTCTTGCTCTCCTTGTATGACTGCACACTCTCATTTTGAATAAAGTTGTTTAAAGGTATGCAGCACGTAGGTGACGGTTTAACTTTTTCCTGTGGCTCATATGTGTATCCTTCACACAAGTGCCCTCACTTTCAGGCTAGGGGACACAGTCCCCCTGACCTTTTTCTTCTTTGGTCACTGTGTGTGACATGTTTACAGTTCCAAATAATGGGGACAGAAAAGAAGAGACTGGGAACAAGAATTTAATAGTCAAGAGGGCAGATAAATTTGCTTCCTTCATATGCTTTTTCTTCTGCAAGTCTCAGGATCTTTCTGTAACATATTTCACATCATCCATCACATCCAGAGACTTCATGACTCATTACCTCCATTTTCCAAGAGGTGAACCTCCAGGGCTGTGCCTGCTCAGGGCACATGGCCCAGAGAAATGGAAGCTAGAGTCAGATATTCCATCCACCATGAGGCCCAGGATTTCCAAATCCCAACATTTTACTTTGCATTCAAAGCTTTTCTTTAAACTTGGATGTTTTTTATTTTTTTTTAATCACTGGAGAAAAAAAATCTAGCCAGTTCTACCTACTTTCAAATGACTCAGTGATCTGAGAGTCATGAATTTAATTTTCTTTTAGTTAAAGTACCATTAGCTTGTTATCTGAAAAAGTTTGGTATTTGCTGGTGACTTAAAAATGCAATTTCCTTTACTTTTTCACTACGGTAAGCCTGAACTTGATACCAAGTTCATCAAAAACCAGAAGGGAGATTTGTAATCCAGCATTTTAAAATTTTACAACATATGCTCTTTTCTTTCTCTGATTGTTATTTCCAAAACAGAAATTCCTATAGAATCAAATTGTAAATGTAAAATGCACAGTAAATGCAGGAAAAGAACTTTGCAGAGGCTTATTGTTGGTTTTGATTGTTTATAAACAGTGTTACTGTTTATAAATAAGTTTCACTACAGGCAAACTCCAACTATTAAAAAAAAATCTGTCCATGTATGTCGATGGAAGGTAGTTCAGTGAGCCTCTCATGAATAGCATATTGACTGAATCTCAGCTGTATTCAATATATTGGTTTCTCTTTTCACATCTAAATATTCTTTAAAAAAATAAAATGTGAGGCAAAGAATGAATGAAAATTTTGCATACATTTCTCCGCATAATTTCAGCTGTCTTTTCCTCAGGATATTACTTGAATCAAGTGGCTTCAATACTATTTCTTAATAATCCTGGAGCTTCCAAAAACGAATTGATTTT